TCCAATATACACCCAACCACTCCGATCCATAACCCCCAAATATACATAATCACACATCCAAGTACAAGAAAGTAGCACAAGAAACAAACAATTCAACCCCACTCATCTATTTTACTTTACAATGAGTTCATCACCTCTCCCCTTTTATCCTTCTTTTCTCCTTTCTCAACATACTATTTATTTATCTATCTATCACATATCATACATATCATACATCCGACTCAATCTCACTCGATTCCATTAGTTTCCTATTCTTGGCCAATTTGATTTGATTATCATCATGAGTCTACTCACGCACTTAGAGACTCGCGCACTCACACACTCACACCCTTAATAATCCATAATCAATTCTCATCATATACCATTCAAACTTTCGAATATATCTACACCCGAATCGCCTACCCCATCTCCAGCTCCCTCAGCATCCGGTCCTTCTCGAGATGGAAAACCAATCCTCTACGCCTTCCTGCATTTTTGAAAACTTCTGATTTCCGCATTTTGAGGATACATTGATTTTCTTAAGAAAACTAATTTTCATACCCGCTTACTCGCTTCTATCAACCATCTAGCCAACCAAGTGCAGATACAAACTCTCATTAGACAATCCCATTTCGCACTCAAGAACCCTCGCTACTCTCTCACTCGCCCTAAAATACTCTTCTATTGAAAAATCCGAATCAAACGTCAAAACCAATCCGCACCTTCCACCTTCCACCGTCAGGCACAAATCCAAATTGCATTCCAAATCCCATCCCCATTCCAAGAATCCTTTCAAACACTCATAAGTTTTACAATTCGATCAAATCACTTCACTAATTTATCATGATATCTCACCCAAACTCATCTCATCCCTCTCTCCCCTCCACTTTCAAAGTATCCTCCCCTCCCCTCCCCTGCCCTCTCCTCCCCACACCTAACTAAATCCCTAGTCATTCACTCGCCTAAAATTCCACTCTCCGATTCTCCTCTCTACATCATACCATCAATCAGAGTTTGACTTACTACACAGCTGTAGATTCCAAGGTTTAGCTTACCATTTCCCACGTACCACATACTGTATACCATTCATACACCCCACATATCATCTCCCATCTCCCATCTCCCATCTCCTATCTCCTATATCCCTCCCTATCTAGACGCCCATCAATATCCCATTCCCTTCAAACTCCCCTGTACCTTCCTATTTTTCAATTCTCTACCCATTCCTATCTCTATATCCATTCCCATATTGATACGATATTTACATGATTGCATCTACATCTATATCTATATCTGCATCACCTCATACCACCAAACAAACAAATGCATTGATAAATAAACCAATCAATCATACCTACCTCCCCCCCTCCCTCCCACCTACCTTTTTCCAACATTCTCCCCAAAATTTTCCCCTAAACTTTAAACCTCATTCTCAGCCTAATCTCTCTCTCATCCTCATCCTCATCCTCGTTCTCAGCCTAATCCCTCTCTCATCCTCATCCTCATTCTCATATCCTCTATCCCATCTTATCTATTCCATCTACTCCAAGAAATATGACTCATCACTTCTAATAATTACTCATCACATACTCAACCATGAAATATTTATTTCACATAATAAGAGACAGATGAGATATTTGATATCATTCTATTTCATTTCATTCAATACCATCCAAATCATCCCATGCCATTTCACATCACACAACTCGGCAGACCCAAGAAACTACCCCGTTCAGATCGAAAAAATGATGTTACGTAGTGGCAAGATAACAATATATCACGATAGATAAAAATACCAGAAAACAATGTCCATTTCTAAAACTCACTCATACACCTACATTCCCCAAGCTCCAACCCAAGTACAGATCATGAGCATGATTGAGTATGATCTTGATCTCGAGCACCTAGATACCAAATATAAATCTCTTTCCTATATCATCCCATGCATCCATGTGTGCATCTATTCATCCTCTTCTATCACCCATCCATCCACCACCAACGACCATCTGCACACGCTATCAAGAAAAGACCCTCTCTCCAATTCAAACCCCAAGCTCCAAATCCAATACCAACTCCAACTCCCCATCCCGATTGTTGACAATCTATCATCTTATCTTAATGCGTTAATTAAATTTCATTGCATCCAAACAACTCAATCAATCTGATCCGGATAGCAATTGCAATTCCGAGTCAAAAAAAAAAACACCGAAAAAAAACACCACGCCCACCAACCAAACCATCCTTTTCCTAACTACCCCCAGAAAATTCAATCCAGATATAAAAGATAGACAAACTTTTATATCCATTCTGAAGATCGCCTGACCCAACCGACCCTTGTAAAGAAAGACCCCTTTATAGAACCAAATCAATCCAAAGAAGATATTTGATCCTGAAAATTAAGAGGATCTTTGTTTCTTATTTGGTCTCTCTGCTTCATTTGATTCTTCTTCTTCTTCTTCTTCTTCATCACCATCTGATTCAAAATCAGCATCTGATAGTGCATCCTGTTCTTGTGCTGCGGCTATAATTATATGTTAATACAATTCTCATAATTGAGAAGCAATTGCTCATTGGGGAATCAAAGGGTAGACAAACTAAAATATTTGATAGCACCAGGCCATAAATCTTCTGCAATAGCAATAGCAAGATCATCACCATCGGGAAAGATTTCCAATTTCATTCCCAAATCATCATCTTCTTCTTCCTCAACCTCTTCCTCCTCCGATTCGACAACTTTCTTTCCATTTCTCCTAGCTTCCCTCCTTGCTAAATCTCTAGCATTTGCTTCTTTACTTTCTTCCTCACTAACTTTTCGACCAATAAATCCAAACCATGCGAAGAAACTTAAACCTCCCATGCTTGTATTATTCATTTTCTTCTCAAGAGTTTTGTGTTGTAGAGTCATTTTCGAATTCTCCTTTCGTTCTGCATCCCACGCATCACAAACCATATCCAATAAACCTCCAGTTAAATCTTTTCCCTTTTTCCAGTGAATCCTCACTGGTTCACTGACCAAACCACACCAACCTCCAAGACTCTTTCTATACCAGAACTTCTTGACCAATTTCTCGTCTGTAAAGTATTCATTTGGGGAGAACGTCCATGTAATTGATACAGATCTTGGATCTCCTCCATTGGTAGATTGTGGACCTTCGAGTTCGAAATGCGATACATGTAGGGAAGTGAGTGAGGAAAGTAGAAGAGCGGAATCGGAAGGTTGGATATATTGATCTATATCTGGAGGAGCTTGTTCGAGTACCAGGGCCCAGAAATTGGGAATCTGAGAGATAGTCTTGTTGCGATGGGTATACAGAGGTTGGGTAAGGGAAACTTGTTGACGAACTGATAGAAAGTTAGTCAATTCATCTTTAACCACATCAAACCGTAGATAGAATATTGGCAGATCCTATGAAGATACAAAACAATCAAAGAAATGAACGTAATGTATACGTGTACATCCATGGCATGTCGTGCAAAAGAATCGACTTGATCTGATCTTGATCCGATAAATTCCAAAAGTCGTGGCGTAAGGTTACTTAGCCCCTCCAAAAAAGGCAAATCAAAGTACCTCCAACGTCATAAAAGAAGAGGAAATAAGAAAATATAATCTGACGTACTAATTTCTGTTTCAACATCATCAAATTCCCTTTCAATTTCTGCCAAATCTTCGTAGGAAACGGGAGTATCTTCTAAAGCTGCTGCCATAGCCGCGGTTGTAAATGCGAAGGTTTGTCGCATAGCCAAGCTAGAATTTATACGCGTGAGTGGAGGATTTCGCGTAAGCAGGAAAAGGCGAGGGGTACCGGGAACGAAGTAAGGGCGGGCTGGACTGTGGTGATCACTTTCGACTTTCCTGTGTATACAGAGCAGAGTATCCTTTTTTTTTTAATGAATTTAAGAGAGAAGCAGAAGAGAAAGAATGTCACTGTGATGCTTATACCGAAACAGAAAAGAATTGAATGCTTGGCAAAAGAAATAAAATTGTATGTCACCCGGATTTGATAGACTGGTGTGGAATTGAGTGTAAAGTCGGACTTTATCTCGGGACCGAATGTCCTGTGGAGTTTGAAGCTTTGAAAATGATTCTCGATGGAACTGGCAATGATGTGAACTAGGGAGGGAGTAGGTCAGGTCAGGTCCCTGGATGGTCTGGATGGTCTGGATGGTCTGAATAGTCTGAATAGCCTGAATAGTCTGAATAGTCTGAATAGTCTGAACAGTCTAGATGGGAAGAATTGAATGGTAAGAAGTAGAGTAGGGGTGGTGGTAGTCGTAGTGAATGAAGATTCGACTTGCTATCGATGATATTTGATGACATTGTCGTCGTGAAGGGAAGTGGACGATAATTAAGACGATATATGAGTGTAAAGAACGGAAAGTATATTTTGTTAAGATTTTGCTTGGATGCTTGGATGGGAAGGGTTGGGATACCGGTAATGAACTTCATTCACCAGTGGTTTGTCGTTTGTTCTCCCGAGTCCACCGGTCCCCTCGATCAAGGAATTAGTAATCTCGGGGGTGTACGTAGTAGTAGTTGGTATAACACATCAATATCAAAAGTCTTGGTACGGATGGATAGAGCCTTCGAGTGTGTCAAGACGATTCAAATGAAAGGTTGACTGATTCCCTTGTACGGAGTTGCATCAAAATGGAAGGTTCCTCTGGAGAAGATCGATTGGGTAGGTAACGTCAAACACAAGGTTACAATTGTGAATGAATGTAATAAGTTTCTTGGAATAGCCTCAATTTTGGCAACGGGATATGAATCCTTTCCCTTCCGTGCATCACGAGATTCTTGGTACTGTATACCGGTACTGGAGTATTAACTTGGAGACTAGTCATAAGTAGGTGGTTAGGCATGACATTCACAATCAATGTATCAATGTATCAATCATTCATTCATTCATTCAACAAAATGATAAGATCTTACATAATAAGGTAGCGAAGTGTGATAGAAGTGAAGCTTGAAGTGAAGTCTGCTTTCCCTTACAAGATTTCAACAATATCCTCCGTCTGGGGTCTGGTGGTCCTCCATCCTCAATTCTGATTGGTCAATGACGTTTTAGTTTTCCTTTCGTCAAAGATGATTAATCGAAAAAATATGGATGTGGATGTTTCTGAATAATAATTCATCATTCATTCATTCATTCATTCATGTGAACACAATCTAGTTTTTCTTATCTTCACATTACATTCATTGATTGAATCTAGACCACGACGACGACCTTGTCATCACATTCTATCATATCTCATCACTTCACTCTTCCGTGTGGTGTTGCATCTTTAGACAATATCATACCTTGAACTTCCATTTGGACAAACACTACCCCACCATATTCTTCTCGTGCTATCAAAGAAATTAAAAGTCTCCTACCTTTCGTCGTTCAAGCTGAGTTTGAACCTCGAACATTCCGGGCCCAAGTACAAGCCTTACGAAATAGTCTCCTAGCGATCCATACATTTCTCCTGGATCACTACCAACCCTCACTTCAGTGTTTCCCTAAACCACCTACCGTCATTTCACCATGCCCACCATGGCGACACAATCTTACCCAGAGGGCAGAGTCCTCGTCATTATGACAGGAGGTACCATTTGCATGAAATCTTCACCGGAAGGCTTGGTTCCAGCAAGAGGGTTCCTCAAGGAAGGAATGGCTACGAGACCATCATTCAACGACGGCTCAAATCCAGGTAAGAGTTTTTTTACGTTGGGAAATTTTGTTGTACAATCAAAATTACACGCGCGATGAACGTACACAGTTCAGAATCAAAATCCCAAGTCTCCCAGTCTGATGGAGTGGTACTTCCATTTTCACACGTGAATCGACATTGACAAGAATTTCATGATCAAATCCATATTGATACATTGAAATACGATTGATTATGGATCAGGACGTCAAAACATTCAAATTTGAAGGATCATTGAATCGAAAAGCATTTAGGTCTGAAGGATCACTTGGTTGTCAAATTTGGATTTGGTCAATCATTGAAAATTTCTCGAAAGTCTAGATGTCTTTGACTTTGACATCCTTTTCATTCTGTCGTTCATTGCGTGATAGTATGGTTCTAGACTCTTCTGGGGTTTACATCAGTATGATATTATTTCACATCGTCGAGAGCTAGAAAATCTGCAATGACGTCCAATGTCTTCAACTTTGAACACCATTAAAATATTTACGCCGATATGGCGAAAGTCGTGTAAGGTCGATAGGAAGTGTTTGCTAAGTGTTACATATCTTGAAGATCTCAAGGGACTTCTTGTACACATAATTGCGTCTCCGAGTTACACTGAATGGCTCTAGTGAGTCTCTTTCAACCAATTCATTTCGGGATATGTCATTGGTAGTCCTACGATGACATCTCAATTAATTCTCATTGAATGATCTATATTAAGAGATATCACACGCATCCCATCGTCGTTCATTGCATTGCATTATCTCCGCTTTGGATATGCATTGCTTTATTCCGACAACGATAATCCACCGCATACGCAATATGTTTCGGAGAATTACTTAATGACTAACTTTTACTCAGATCCTATGCCGGTTATGACCACAAGCACTACAGAAGAATATTTACCCAGTTTACGTACTCCTCCAAGCACGTATTCTCGACATGTTCGGTATACCTTGTACGAGTTTCCCGTCTTACTAGATTCTTCATCAATATCTTCAAATGGTTGGACACAAATAGCTACTACGATTGAAAGAAATTATCATTTATTTGATGGTTTCGTTGTTCTTCATGGTACAGATAGTTTGGCATACACGAGTTCAGCTTTATCTTTCATGCTGTCCCATCTTGGAAAACCTGTTATTCTTACAGGATCTCAAGCTTCAATCTTTGCTCTTCAATCTGATGCCGTGGATAACCTTCTTGGATCACTAATCATAGCCGGAACTTTTATGATCCCGGAAGTATGTCTTTTCTTTCATCACAATTTGTTCCGTGGAAATCGCACTACCAAAGTTTCTGCTACCTCCTTTGATGCTTTTGCTTCACCAAATTGTGAACCTTTAGCAAAAGTGACTGCTTTAGGAGCAACAGTCAATTGGAATCTCGTTCGTCGTCCACGATCGATTGCCAAATTCGGAGTACAATTAAATCTTGATACTTCCCACGTAGCATGTCTTCGTATCTTCCCTGGTATCAAACCAGAAATGATTGATGCCGTCCTTCGTATTCCAAATCTCCGCGGACTTATTCTCGAAACTTTCGGTGCCGGTAACGCACCCAGTGGAGATGATGGAAGTATGATCAAGATCATGAAAGAGGCATGTGAGAGAGGTGTGATCATAGTCAACGTATCACAATGCCACTCTGGCTCCGTCTCCCCGCTGTACGCACCAGCCACCATTTTAGGCAGAGCAGGTGTAGTTTTCGGTCACGACTTGACAACTGAAGCTGCCCTGACTAAACTTTTATTCCTCCTTGCTCTTCCTGATCTTTCATACGACGACGTTACCATGCAAATGCAATGTTCCATTCGTGGAGAAATGACTGAGGAAGGTAGCACAGCTTTTTCACATCCACCAACCGAAGTCGCAGTTACAGCTCAACAACATGCTTTTACGGGATTGGGATACGCAATTGAAAAGGGTGATACGAATGCCATCATCAATATCCTCGACCACGATCGAGCTGGTCTTCTTCAAACAACGGATTACGTAGGAAATACCGCTTTACATTTGGGGGCTGTAGGTCCTTCAGTAGACTTGTTGAGAGAAGTAGGTGGTGCTTCCGCTTGACAAATTTTCTCTTCCTTTTCCTGTAGATTTTCCAGGTTTTTAATTCTTCGAGTTCCCGTCCGATAACGAAAAGTTTTGATTTTTTTTCTTCAATTGATTGTTATATTGCATTAACGCACACAATGATCTCTTACTCGAATCATTTGAAGTGTTCAAATAGTTTGAAGGTGCTAATCTTCTCAATTATACTCACATATGTACACACATATCATTTTGAAGGGCTCCAAATATCTGGATTTTGGAATCTCTATAACATATTTTCGATATTTTAAATCAATAAATGAGACAGTGAAATCTCATCTCACAGCCTAAAAACCCTTCACATATCATGTCGTTCGGTCTGCTAGTCCAGACAAATAATCACACATCCATGGATTTTCCGATTCCTCAAATTTCCACCCAACTTCCCGCAATTTTCCTAAAAAGCCTTGAAATATTTTCTCCCCTGACTCATCATCTTTCCATCTTTCATTGCATCAAATCCCCACCCCCAATCCCCCTAAGCTTCTGCCGAAACCTCCCTAAACACTTACTAACCCCCAACCCATAAATAGTTACTCAAGCGCGGCGCAAGCGTACATGCCCGTAATAAAGCAGGGAATACCCCGTTGTTTCTGGCGAGGAAGGGCGGTGAAAAGCAGAAGGAACATGTGAGGGCTTTGGAGGAGGCGGGGGGTCATTTGTGGGTGGAGGAGAGAGAGGAGGTTGTAGGGTGAGGATGGGATGGGGATGGGCGGAAGGGGAGTGGGGTAAGGGTAAGGGTAAGGGGATAGGGGAAAGGGGAAAGGGTGGGGTACGAGAAACGAAAGAATGAAGGAAAGAGAAATCGACACTGAAAACAAATGTTGTTTTAGACACCACGAACTACAAACATCAAACACAATCCAAATCCAACGAGAGCAGACGAGAAGAGAGGTAAAAATTCAAAATTCCCTCCTTCCCTCTCCTTCCCTGGCCAAAACGTTTTTTCTTTTTTCTTTATCAAAATATATCCATTTCATCACTCTGTATATGAAACATCTTGATCTTCTGACAAACTTGTAAACACAAATACATACTTATCACTCCGACTTATCACTCATACTCGCTACTTATTACTTATCACTCGTCAACTATCACTCATTAATCATCACTACTCATTCCTCACTCCTCACTTCCCAGGGAATAAATGAACAAATAACCACAAGATCATAGGTCGAGTATATAAGTATATATTTCAGCGTTCAAAGAGTTCAGAGTTCAGAGTTTAGGCTTCTTTCATCTGAAATGGGTGTTAGGAATTGTCTATTTCTCGTCTCTTGGGTTCTGGGTTCTGGGTTCTGGGTTCTAGTGTTGTGATGAGATAATGGTATGGTCAAGATATGATGCGTGTTATGAGGTGAGTTTGAGGGTTATGTTGAGATTGGGCTTGGGCTTGGGCTTGGGTCTGTGGATATCTCCTTGCGTTTTCCATTTTGCTTTTTTGAGGGGGCGGGGAGTGGGAACTGGGGGAATGGGAACTGGGGGAATGGGAATGGGGGAAGGTGGAAGGGGATTTGGAAGGGGATTTGGATTCGGATTTGAATTCCTACTTATAAATCTTGAGGGCGGGAGATGGGAGATAGAATTGAGCAGATTGGAAGGATGAGGATGATTTTGGATGAGGAGGGGAGAAGAGAGGAGAAGAGAGGAGAAGAGAGTTGTCTTTATAGGTGGAGCTGGGAGTTCGTCGAGCGCTGGATGATATATAAGTTTGAGCTGAGGGATTATTTATTCGACTGGGGTTTTTTAAGTTTTGTAGGATAGTGATTTGAGGGGTTATTGATGTGGGTTAAGATTACGATTTTCTAGAGTTTCATGTGGTGACTGGTGGTATTTCTTTTGGAAGTATGACAAATATTATTCTTGCTTGCTAGCTGGGTTAGTTAACTTCCAGGTGCTTGATAGAATAATCATCATGCATACCTTTTGCAATGTATTATGATTATCCTACCATAGTTTTTTCATTTTATCTGTTTGACGATGAAGTTGCATACTTTTCTGTGCAAACCTATGGCCGCATTAGTAAAGGTTGAGATTTATCATTGAAACAATAAATCATTTACGGGCCTAGTAGGCCCGTTGGTTTACAATGATATAGTATAGCCGTCTTCGTAGATAGGCTATTATCGTATGTATCGAAGATACTCTGAGTATGCTAATAAACTCTTGCTATTGATGAGACGTGTACCAGACCCCAGTTTGCGATGGATCATACTTATTTTATTAAGTCGCTCACGGAATGAATTGCCGGCATAAGAACGTTGTCAGAATTTTGCGCCTTGATTTTATCGATCATAAGCCATCAGAAAGTGTGATATCTGCGATTGAAGTTGTAGGTTGATGATTTGAATGATGGAAAATTATATAGGATTTGGACGGACGTTGATGTATTTTGTAAATTGTGATCAGTGTCCTTAAATGTTATCTTCTCTACTCGCTTCTTGGGAGGATTGAGGCATATAGCTGTGTTGATAGGTTGTCTTGGAGAGTAACTCGTTATCCTGAATATAGCTTGCTATGCTAAGACATGCTTTATTGCGATTTCGAGCAAGATAATATCGTATAAGATATTGTAGCATGCGCGGGATCGTAAATAACAATGATAATCCAGCATCTTTAAACTCTTATATTCAGTGCAATACTGTATAGAACGCGTTCGAAGAAGAAGAAAAAAAGCTTTCACAGGGCTTCTGGCGAGTTCCATTTCTTTCTCCCCTTGGAAGAAGTCTCTGCTTGTTGCAAAATCGTTGAGGTCAGCCTGATAGACTCTTCGTTTGATCCTTATGTGTGTTTTGCTTGAGCCCCTGTAATGATATGGCCCATGTAGCTTTACGGGTGTGATCAGAACACATATCGGAAGAGCTGCCAAGGTCCTATTGACACCGCCGATGATATATTGTAGAAATTGCAGAGATTGGATAAGCAGATGAGCAGATCACGATGTTCTGAGAATGGCAATAGTAGCACTAGTTACACTATTGTGTATCGCAAATAAACCGAGCCATATCCTCAAAATTAACGACGCATTTTCGGATACTTCGAGGACCTGGCCAATCACTCAGGAGGTGGCCACATTAACACTCTGCAAGTCCCCGTCTGGTGTAACCACATCAACTCAAAGCATCCTATAAGATCTGGGCAACAACTGGTCAAGAATTATCAAGCACCTTTGGCTGATTCAACGTGTCAAGTGCCTGGCTTTGCGTTGGAAGATAAAATGCCTATTCGGTTTGATTGCTTGCGGAGGTGCACTTTTCATTATCATATGGATCTTGGTTTGACGAATTATGCTATCCTTTCTACCGTTAGCACATCTATCTTCCAAAAGATTGTAAGTGCCTACCTGTCGTAGATTTTGCCACGTTTGCAAACTGAATTCAATAGGGATAATTGCTTTCACTACACCATTTGTAGAGGAGGTCAACGAATCCTAGTTTCTCGCAGTTGTCAACCATGATTTATGAGACCTCGTGGAACATTCTTGCTATATGAGTGGGAAAGCATCAAGATGTATGTAGGGCTGTATAGTAACCGATCGAACCCGTGAGCATAAAATAAAAGTATGAAAGATCATGTTGATCGTGAGATAGATGGAGGTGTAGGTGTGAGCATATCCATAACTAGGCCATTGATTAGTAGTTTCTCGCCAAATAAAGTTAGCGTCAGGTGAAGATAGTCGGACACGATAAACATGCACCTGCCTGCCTGGAAGAATTTGTGGTAAAACATTGTGAATCTTCGACACAAGATAAACTCTATCTCATTTATATGCGTAGTAATCTGCTACAATTTCAAAGTCCGCATATCCTAATCATTTCTATGAACCAGATGGTGCTTGAACAGGATGCTTCCATGCCATATATCCAACATAAGCCTGAAAGGCGCCCAAAGCCAGGCTCAACAACCCTAGGAAAATCGCAAACATAACACCGGCGATGGTAGCCATCATCACGAATCTCGGACTGCTTTTTCTCTCGAACCATCTCTCAACACCTCTAGGAGTCGGATTCATTAATTCTTGGTGTAGCTCTGCCAATCGTGCCCCGAAATAATGATACTGGATATTCTGCTCCTCAGGTTTGCGAATTGACACGCTCTCATACCTGAGCATATCGGTATCGAAGTTGCAAGTCAAGGGTGAAGTAAGAGATAATAGAAGCTCTTTGTTCTTGACATCCGCGAGGGGGAAAAGTATCTTTTGTATAGAATCGAGCACCTCGAGAGCGAGTGCACGAGGGAGCAAACCCCTGTAAATGGTGCACGTCAGCGTGTGATATCCCTTTGACTGAATATCAGAGAGTGGAATCGACTTCATCGTCACAATCTAAAGGTCTTTTTTCACTTACTCTATGATAAGGTCAGGGGCAGACATATTTGACGGTCTCTCTTTCGAAAGCCTCAAGTGCTCTTTCAAAAAAGCAATTTGGTGGAAGATTTCGACGACCCCAGCCTTTTGGTCAAGTCGTAAATGATTCCTCAAATCATTTGTTGCTTGGAATCTGAGGCCTGCATGCTTTTTCAATTTGGTAGCCCGCAGCTTGTCCTTCACTTCATCAATGCTTGAATGGGCGGTTTTGGGGAAGACGTCATGGAGAAAAGATATATAGCAATCTTCGTAATACCAACGAGCTCCTTGAGTACCGTACTCCATCAAGACAGAGGATTGGCGAGATTCAGAGCAATTGACCATCATGACTACTTGAGCAGCAAGATCGAGAGCGCGCTCTTGATCGGCCCGCGCGGGACGATCAGTGAAGAGTGCTTCCAACAACTCCGCTTTAGTATATTCAGGGTACGCTTTAAGGACTTTGATAATCCTTAATAAGTCTTCGAAACATGCGAGCCCTGGACTCTGACCAGGAGTTAGGTTGTACTTGTAGTTGTATGCGGAACTTTTGAAGAACTCAAAATATGAACCGAGGACTGTTGATCTACACCAAGAGCAATCGGATGTTGTGCAAGGAATTCCTAATTGGCAGTCTATACATATATGCCAGAACCACAAGGCTTTAGTAAGTTCCTGTAACTGAGCGGTGGTGATTTTTCTCAAGGGAAAGACTGAAGCCATCATCATTGAAGTATAAGAAGCCCTACTATGTATTTGATTTGGCACTCTCGCGATGCTTTAGAGTCATGTCACTTGTGAAGACTTGCAAAAAAATATTTATCAAGGCACTAGTGAGGTCTGTCAACAGAGTAGGCTATGTTATGGACTCACGAATCTTGCGCACATAATAGCAAAACATGCATGAATTAAAGTGGCAATATAGCTGTGTATAAGTAGTACAATTGTGGAAGTTGAGCGTGGCTTGTTGACTAAGCCCGGAGGATTGTCATATTTGAGTAGTACAGTGTGACCATCGCCAGTCATTTGAGTTCTATCCAAAACTAAACCTTGTGGCTTACATCATAGCCTCAACCACTTGCACATCACTTTCAATAATTCCTATCATATATTTCTACTCAAAACACCACCTCGTTCAACCTAATTGATCCCCGTCAGTTTTCTACTAGCTATCGTTGTGGAATTGAGTCGTATGCAGCTATCGAAATTCTTAAATTAAGCTGCAGTCCTCCACTTCGTGGACCATGGCAGCCGTTCGAGATAATTATCAGTCTACTGCTTTCGAGGCTGCAACAGCCATATGTGACTTGAACCCGATAGCTTCTTCAGCTGCACTTAACGAAACAAAGAATGTGACATCTGAAGGGCTAGATTCCGGATACGCATCGCAGGCTACCACTCCGGATATTACTCCGGTGACTCTTAGGTCATCTGTCGATCATTCTGCCGCAGGCGGGAGAACTCTGTGGTCTCCTCTGCGCAAGCCGAAACAACTCCGAGCGTATAATAAGCCGATTCCTCTATTGACTTGGGAGCGGTTTTCGGATCTACGAGAGCAATATGCAGAAAGTCTCAACAAATTTACACGAAGCTTGCCCAGTTACTCCTCGGTTTTGATGACCTTACAGGTGCTAGGAGAAGATGAAGAATCCGCAGAACCTTGGGTTTTTGTTCAATGCGATAAAGCTGTGTTCAAAAAAGTTAACAGCTTCTTCAAGAAGCCACTGATTAAGGTTGATTTCGAATCAAATCAGCCTGACGATCGCTCTCCTCGGTTACGAGTCCTTGTATGTCCGCTCAAGCCTAGATATCTCGCCAAGAATGATCATGGATCTCTGCCGGCCAATTTCTTTCACATTGATGAAGAGGCAATCCTTATTTTTAGCAGGTCTCCTATACATGACACTTTGTGCGGTACCCAGATAGCGACTGAAAGCTCGTGCAAAGCTACGATAGGTGGTATCATCAAAGTCGTCGACATCGAGGGGCAAGAAATGTTCTACGGAATGAGTGCAGGTCACTTTGTTTCTAAGGGTTTCCAGGATGAACCAAGTCAGAATCTCGATGATGAATCCTGTGAAGAAGACTTCCAGTTGGACTTTAGCTCTGTTGACGGCGAAAATAAAAAGGAGCATCAAAGTATCCAGTCTACTTCGAATGAACTGATGGGCAGAGTTTCACTAGCAAATGTATCAAACCCGTCTGTCAATTGCGGGAAAAATCTCGATTGGTCATTAATCAGCATTATCAGCCCGAGACTTGCCATTCTGCCAAACATCTACATGGAGAAATGCATATTTGAGATTGGCCCCCATGTATTAGAACCTCCGGAAATAAATGTCGGAGTTCTTTTGGCTGGCGAACATATCCAAGGAACCATGTCTACTTTACCATCTTACTTAATGGTACCACCAGGCAATGTACTCATCCAGACATATCTCTTATCGTGCACTAATGCGACAGGTAAGCAACATTATCCAAATGAACTAGTCTTGACACAAAGCTAAACTCAGACAAAGTTCTCCAACCCGGAACCAGCGGAGCCTGGGTAATCGACGCGAACAGCAACAGGCTTTATGGCCACGTCGTTGCTTCAGATGTATTCAACCGCATTTACGTCGCGCCAATTAGCGATTCTTTCGAGAACATCAGAAGCCATCTTTCTGCTGTCTCGGTAACCCTCTGCGATGTCGAGCCAGCCGAGCCCGGGGATTGTACAAGTTCCGTGGATTCTGGGTATTCGACCATGAATAATTCGCCAGAAGGTACATCAAGGCAGGATCCCTTACACGTTCTGGAGTACGCTCCGCGGAAAGAACGACGATTAGATAGAGATTGATTCATACCCGCACATATCTTCTCAAATCAATATACCAGTTACAAGGGATATAGAGTATATAAATGTCCTTTGCAGCATTTAATGTCAGAAAGCGAGATTTGCATGAAAATTGACTTTCCTCCACAGCCGATTTTCCTTAGCGTGGCTGCCTTTCCTTTCTATATCTGCATTTTGGCACCTCAAGGTCAAATTGATGATTGAATAAATTATTTAATTATATTTTTAAGGCTGAATATCAAACTTGAATATTTGAAACGTGGCTCGTGAACGCGAACGTTTTGTTGTCAGCTCGTTTATGAAGCACTAGATAATGACTCAGAAACTCAAAGAATTGGAAAATCATGAAACAAATAACCCCAACGAAAGAATTACAGATTTTGGAGATCGAGTAAAGTTACTTTAGATATCACCAAAAGCTTTACAAAACCCATTAAAACGTAATCATACTACTAATACAAAATACAATGGACTAGCTGCGAAATCAAAGATGCCCACCAATACGATCAGACTCACTAGTTCCGAATCCTGTCCATCCATTAAAATCATCAGCAAAGGTAGCAGCCATGGACAAGTATCTCTCATGTACATCTCCCCAAGTAAAAGCTGCTTCCTTCATGGCCCGTAATGCTTTCACATAATGTGGATCCGTTGACCATACACCATTGATAGCTTTATCTTCAACATATTTCCATCCCTTTGCTGGTTTTTGCTCAATATCTTCATTTATTCCCGGTCGCATCTGCGAACAGTAGACGGCAATTGTTAATAGCCACCATTGACGAATCAAACTAATCTGGAATTTCGCTGGAACGAAGGGGAGTAGGATTCGAACTGCGTGGCTTGTAGTGAGGATATGTACCATGAAGAAGTCGTATGCGTGAGTGCCAGGCTGGACCGTTTGTACCAGCAAATTTACGGCTGCTTCTTGGGAATCTTGGAATTGTTTACGAGGATCGGTAATGCTCCAGGCGTTCCAATGCTCGAGTATAAAATCCTCATGTTCATCGAATAGTTTGGTTATATTTGAAGGCGAAGGCCCATCTAAGACACCATCTAATCGAGAATCTACATGTATTTTGTGAAGAATTTCTATGGGCGAGGTTGTGCTATAGGTAGATGCTTTGGTATAAGATGGATCATCAAGATATTTGTGCATAAAATCGTAGCAGCTCGACGCTAGGGAGAGGGCTTCGATGGCCAATTCGCGACTATTCAATTCGACTGCGTAACCGAGATGAATAAGGGGGTGACCGACTAAGACACTCATTAGTACAAATGCGGTAAAATAGAAATTATACATACGTCCTGAAGTAAGACCATTAACAAGAGGAGCTTCCCCGCTGTAGAGATATTCCTCTACGAGAACCTTCCAATCATAACTATATTTCAAAGCCAATTCATCTTCAAAGAAATCAACGTACGCCCTCTGATATACCTTCTCTCCTAAGAATTCTCTCCAATCTGCATCTGTGATTTCTCCAGGAGAATCATGCCATTCTTCAAGATGTTTTGATTCTTCTGCAAAGACTTTCTGTAATTGATCATAATCTGCCCCTAGAAGATATGCTGATCCTAGATGATGTGGTAAATGGTTATGAAATCGGTTGTTGTTGTAAAGGATTGAATAATTAATGTGGTTCGATTTTAAGAGATGCTTCAACGTCCTTGGTCGTTTCTCTGGAGCGGTTTCAATGTCGTGGATTTCAACTGGCAGGATAGTGATCGGTTGTGTTGATGAACCGATAGTAGTGTTTGCCACAGATTTGTAGATTCTGTTCACAATAGGAACCCAATTTATCATAGGAGCCGACATGATTGTTTGTGGTGTTGAGCTATGGAGGTCCCGGGATTCAAGTCAAAGTGTGGGGAAGCTTGAGCTGAAATATGGCAGAATGATCTAATTCGTGGCTGAGTAAAAGCGGTGATATCCATTGAGCCTTGTTGAGTGTTGAGCGTGGCGTATTGTGGCTTGTGAGGGCGGACCACGGCATCGGAACATCACCCGCGCCGAGTGTTAAACCAACTTTGATATCTTTTAACAGGACGCGACACGATATACTCAACACAATCTCAATCATGTCAGTCAATCCTATGAAGTTATCAACTTCTATCAAGCAATGCCTCTAATTAAGCCTTTGATATATGCGGAACTTCTGTCAAATATTCGACAGATATCTATCCTGGCCTTCTTGGACACACCATCTGATCCTTCTACAAAGGCTGAATTATTGGCCGATGGAACCATATTGAAGTTGAACCATGCCGAACAGGATATTCGACTAATGCTTCCCAGTCAAGTGGTATCAAATTCACCACTACGAGAATTTCCTCTTGGTAGCCTTGAATTATCATGGCGTCTTCCTTTGGCAGGAGACTTCCAAAGAGCTGATGTAGACACTGCACAAACCATTGAAGCGCCATGGTCAGCAAAAGATATGGTTATTGGTGAACAGTTTTTCGAATGTCGCAGGTGCTCTACGACTATCGTGGAAGCAGATCGTATCAAAGAGTGGAGGGATCTTCCAAGTGAAGGTTGGGCAGAAATGATGGATATCTGGCACTGTCACAAGCCATCGGATGATGCTGACCATAATCATGAAAACGAAAACTTAGCTTCAACAAAAGGTTATGGAGCAAATACAAAGTTCAATGCACAGCCAGGAATCGGTTTTATAGATCATTCAACCTTTCTCGTGTCGGAAACCGATTGTGCTCTTCCTCAAGGAGGTAACGAGGTAAATTATACTTCTTTCTTTATCTTCATTTGTAGTTCGAGTATATGCGGGTACCAAGAAGGAGACCAGGCGCTTCTCCATAGGCTGGTCACCGATACAAATACCCAAGATTAAATACTTGCTGTTGCTCTGCTCTGGCAGCAGTCAATATTCCTTACCCTCTTCTTCAGATTATGGGTTTCTAACTTGATTGAAGGTCTTCGAACCTTGGCATTCTCCATCACCGTATCTTCTTTGAGATTTCAGAAGTCATGGGTTCACCACAAGTGACATTTATCTAGCGTATTCTGCGTCAAGCAAAGCAACGTTCAATTAACTTATCAATCTCTAACTTTGGTTCTACTCACAGAATAAGTGTAACATAAGTTGTGAAATTTGTCTCGCTACGATTGGAACCAGTGATCCTCAAAACGAAGGAATCCGACTTTTCAAATGGAGTTTGCGCATGGGAACTTTCGAGGGCTCTCCATTATCCAATCTTTCGGATAAGTTTCTTGAGCCATCGATGTCCAGAATCATTTCGGCACAATTTTTGGCAATAATGAACTCATCTTGTGTTTCCCGCGTCAACATATTGCCTTGGAAAAACCCAAGCGATGCTGGACTAGTAGAGTGGGGAGGCCTTAGTATCTGGATCTTCAATCCCTCGATTAGATATACTACTTCATACTTCTACCATCGTAGGTATATGCGTATCTCGGAAACACCCGGCAAACCTGGAATACTGGCTATGAAAGTCCTTTCGAAGTCCTTTTCTGTGGCCAAGTATTCATCAACACATGATGAGTCTGTGGAGGAACTGGAATTACCGGGGGAAGTAATACACGAGCTCAGGCATTTTCTAGAATTGAGTGCGGTGCGGTATCTTCCACCAAGTGCGAGGAAATTTCAGGAGTGGAATGTATCAATTTTGGATAGGCACGAAGCAACGACCTGAAAAGACAATCGACTGGTATTTCAAAGTATTCCAGCGCTGGAGATTTACAACTTCAAGGTATAGTTGTGTTCTGCTGGTGGAATCGGATACCACTTTTTGAAAATAAACTCGGGATCATACTTCCTCTTAATCTCTCTCAACCTCGCATAGTTCTGTCCAAACATATCTTGAGTCCTTTCTGTTCCACTTCCCAAATTAGCATTAGTGAACTTTCTAGACCCTTGCTTTTTAACTGCTTCCTTGACTGGCCCAATCATCCTATTAATTTCCTCTCTCGTAACCGTGTGCGAAATTTGAGAACTATCATACTGTGCCTACATAGTAACAGAAACCGTCTTTTCTCTCGCCGCCAATGAAATTGCCGATGAGGGGATTGCACCACCAACCTTATAAGAACGCATCTCGATTATAACTCGTGAAGGTGCAAGTGCATCTCCGTGCTTATCGTGAAAATCGTCGAACTCTTGTATCAGTTTCTCCATAATTTCGACATCGAATGGATGAGGCATGAACACGCTCGTGTTTGAGAACTTCTGATGGTTTGGCGGTTCGTCTACGAGTCCTGATGGCTTGCTTATGTTGGCAAATGGTATGGCTTCATCGATACCGCCGATATTACAGACTGCAAATCCCACAATGGGGCAGTAAATTTGCGTGCTTCTTTCTCTGGTCCATCATGGGATACAATACAGATAGGGTGAATACCAGACATTGGCATACTTGGGATTTTCATTATCGCCAAAAGAAGGCGTAATTTCCCGTCTGTTTACTCTGTTACCTCTTGCATAGTATCGGCTTATTTGAGAAGTGCTTTCGTCTTCTCCGGTCCGTACACTAAAGGGCCACGAGGAAGTTTGTTAGCTCTCACCCTCATCTCATCCGCGAATTCATCATGCACGTAGTCAAACTTACTGGTATACATCAACTTCCTTGTGCACTCGATAGGTAAATTCAACAACGATGCCAAAGTTTGGTCCTCCACCTCTGATACCCCAGAATAGATCTGAATCCCCATCTTCGGAAGAGTTTAAAACGATCCTATTGGTAAATACGACGCGGGCTGAGAGTAGATTATCAATCCCAAGACCGTATCTGCCGGTTAGAAGGCTTGAATCACTGCTTAGAGTTAGATCTGCGATTCCTATTTTGAGAGTCAGGTATGATAGGGAATAGAGGGTGGATGATAGGGTCTGGGAAAGGAAAGGAGGAAAAGAGGGGGAATATATCTGTATTACTGGCTAGGTCCATGGCCACTAATAATCCTTCCGCTGTATGGTAATAGGTAATATCAACTGGTATCAACTTTTTCAATGCATAATTTTTATGTTCCATTCGGATATCGAACCATCAATCTTTGAATCAGACTCAAAGAATCAATCATCGATATCCCAATGGTACTTGTACAATCCATAGAATCTGTAGAACCATATATCGAATAACATAACTTTACTCTACGTACATTGAAGCGGAGTTTCCATATCTACAACTCTACAACCGTTTTGTACTGTAATCTTCATATTTTCCTTATGGATGCTTACTTTTTTCATGTTCCCCAGATCTAGATTCGGATGTTAGTAGATGCCTCATCCCTTTATATTTCCCATTCATCCGGACGCATTGAAAGGAAGTGAAGAACAAATAATGGAACAAGACGTACCAATGATTACACCATCACAGGAATCAGCTCCATAATAACTATGTCTTCCTGCGGCGATAGTGAAATCGAGATTGTGTTTCTGGATGTAGGAAAGAGAAGCGATGATGTCGTTTTCGGAGTGGCAGAAGATTATCAGGGACTAGATGGTAAGGTCTGTTAGTTTGGAGGGGATTGGCATGGGGATAGGATCGATAAGTGGTGATTGGGTGTTAAGTTTGGTTTGAGTAATAGAAGGAACTCTTGGAGTTGAACTGAAGGATAAAGTCTCGATTTATCAAATGAATTAGAGGAATGAAACTTCATTCTCCATTATCAATTCAGGAATTAAGCCAAAAGTAATGACCAATGTTCAGCAGTCACACAAAATTCCTGTACACGTTCAATCGCGGCATTCTTTCCTTCGTACTCCTTTTCACAAGTTCTTCGGAAATGGAAAAGTGAGACGCACAATACCACTCACAGATTCCTTCATAAACGCTTTATTATATCTGTCAATCGTATTCTTATAGTCTTCAGTCAATTGTTCCTTCTCAGACTTCAAGACAATTTTCCCTTGCAAAGATGTTCAAAGTGCTTCAACCCATGATGGGTAGGATGAGTCGGGGAAGGAGAATGAGAGTCGGATGCCAAATTCTCGGCTGACGGATAAGATAGTTTGAGAGGGCAAAACGAGAACTCTGTTTGGAAGATGAGACGATTTAAAATACTCTATGGAATATCAGGGAGAATTTTTACAAATCATAGGGAAAATCGTGTAGATCCATAGCTAACAATTAGCTGGATATTGAAGGTCCACTATATCACACATTCAATATTACTTCAATATCATTTCAATATTATTTCAATATTATTTTAATATTATTTTAATATCATTTCAATATTACTTCAATATTACTTCAATATCATTTCAATGTTACTTCAACATTACTTCAATATCATTTCAACATTACTTCAACATCACTTCAACTATTACACTCCAACTTTTCAATCTCGCTAGTGATCTCGTGCGCCCCGAGTTTGTGACGTAGCTGGTTGTTGCAACATAAAATACAACGGGCTGGTACCCAGCTGATTGTGTTGGTGAGTAGTGGGGTGAATTTTCTCAATGAGAGGAATTGAGATTCTTTGAGGGAGGTCCATTCCGGAACGTGGAGATATGCAAGATAAAGCAAGTGTGTGGATTAAGTCTAGTTGATCGCAGTTTAGAGGAACTGTCGGATAATGGATTCTGAATATATCACAAAGCTGACTTCAGCAGAGTCTTCTTGGAGTACTCGGATTAGCCGATAGTCATAGATCAATGGATTTGTAATATGGAGTTCGACGGAAGATCAGGGAGAATCAAGTGAAATACACGAAACTGATATACTTACAATGCATCGCCAAATTCAGCTGTTCAAATTGAACTCTTACAAAATCAGGACATTTGTCCAACCTTCATCAAGCTCAATACTTGACAAACGAGATATTCGCCTCAGAAGCGTGTATTTGAGCGTATTCACGCAGGGATATTTCTGATCACTTAGCTCCTCATTTGAGGGTACCCAGCTAGCACCAACGGGGAGGTGTGATCAAGGCTAGCCACCCTATAGACGAATTAGCAATTAACAGGGGAGATTATACTTGTCTAAAATAATGCTCTGGTGGCCTTCGGTTGACGAAGGCAAGGAAGGGTGTTCGAAAGAAGAGAATCGCTGGTGGACTAAATGTCCGAAGAGAAAAGGAAATCGCTGGTGGACAAATGTCCGAAGAGAAAAGGAAATCGCTTGTGGACTAAATGTCCAAAGAAAAAAAAAGGAAAAAAGAGAGAATCACTGGTGGACTAAGTGTCCAAGGAAAAAAAAAAGGTCCTGAAGTGAAACTCGAAAGGAGAATGCCTAGAAAAGTAAGCAAAAAGCGCAAAATGTTTTTGGATTTTAGAATTTTATATTTTTTTTGATTTTTAATCGCAAGATTACCCAGCAGACCAGTCCGGCGGTAACAGGAATGTTCATCCGAAGGTTATGAATAGCCAATGGCCTCATAGGTCCTTGGATGTCCCCTAGCAGGATCCCGAGACTGGTGGCCCGAGGTAAAGGCTCCCCTTCCCGTAGTCCCTGGCCCCTCCTTAGTCAGGTACCCGGCCAAGGGTCCTGAGGCTGGCACCAGGTGTTCCAATAGGGGGATACCGCGAATTTTTTTAGAAAGCAAAGAACGCCAGAACTCCAGAAAAAGAGAATACGACCACTCGAAGTAGCTATCGACCTGGTAGATTCAATTGAATCACTCAAGGTAGCGATGGACTTGGTATGTCGTATGGGAACCTAGAGGAGGATACAACCACTCAAAGTAGCTATCGACCTGGTAGATTCAATTGAATCACTCGAGGTAGCGATGGACTTGGTATGTTGTATATGAATCCAGAGGATGTCTCAGAGTCCGAGATCGCCTAGCCTAGCGTCCTCAACCTCTGATTCATCCTCTGGGTCCGGCCTCGTAGGTGGTTTGATGAGGCCTCCATGCAGGGCGTATGGATACTTGTATTTGCCCTGGTTACTGTAAATTAGCTCCCTCTGGGAGAGAGCCAATCCATAAAAGGGCTCGGGTTTCCTGAAAGATAGAGGCCGTGGGTGTTTGGGACAGGGCTGGACCGGGTCCCGCCATTCCCAGCCCGGACGTCCTGGAATGGTTTGGTGGTTGCCTGTATTGCCCCAGAGTCTGTCGCAAATGGAACAGGTCCATGACCCTGACAGGCGTTTCCCAGGCATCATGCCGGGTTGATGCAGGATAGCATCATCGTAAGGGATCCAGGAGTTAGCTGGTTCCTCTGGGTCGAATGGAAGGTATCTATGGAGGTTCTTCGAGTGGTATTCATGGAAGTGTACCTGCTTCTTGGCTTTTACCTTTTTAAATTTAAATGAGAGTGGGGTGGAAGGGCAAACCTTCCAATTTTCCAGTGTCCTTGGAAATCCGTGGATTTGCATGCTGTCAACGACAGTGGAGGGCCTAAGGCCGGGCCGGAGGATCCCGGTGAGAATGTGTCCGGTATTTGTAGGTACCGGGGCCTGTGTTGCAAAATCCGAGGTGAAAGAGGGATCCTCGGCTGAATAGTCAATTAGCAAAGGTGGTGAGAGGCTATACTCACCAGAAAGAATGGCATTGCTGGAGGTGGGCGCAGCGGGGGTTGAGGTTTCGACTTGTGGGGTGGCGAATCCGACAAGTGCGAGGGTGGACTTAAATGTGTTCAAGAAGAAAGACATAATAAGCTGAAGAAGAAAAAAAAAAGAGAAAAAGAAGAGTTGAGAGGGAAAGGCGTGAAATATATAGGCAATCTAATAGGTAGCTTGAAAGACGTCACCACTTCACACAACTTCGCTAGCACTCGAGACTAATTGTAACCTCGTAACACTAAAATAAATAGGCGAAATCTTACTGTTGATCCCTCATCCGCCTAATATCAATGTGTATAATCAAACGACGATCAAACAATGGAAGGCTCTGGATGCTTTAATCACCTTTGAATGCTATATCTATTTGAAATGCCAAACTACTTCGAGACATTGAGTCAATTTGAAACCCCTAAACACTTACAGACAATGGATATTCATAATTTAATGGGCTTAATTTAGACATTGAAGTGTTGTAAAATGTTAGAACATCGTATCGATTTGAATTACTCAACACGTCTCGGATACCAACATGATGTTAGACAATATGTGTGGTTAAGATGTTGAGTTCGTACAAGAAATTCACACAGCCTGAAAGATTGAGCTCATTAAAATATCCATCTCAATTCGGAGTTTGAAATTATTTGAAATGCTGAGATCATATGAAAGACTCAATTTCCGTGAGGTTTTGAATTCATCTAAGATACTTATTACTGAGCCGGCTTAAGATGTTGAATCAATGGAAAACAATATGACATGAGTGAGTTAATTTTGTCTATGAGGTATTGAATTGAAGCTCGTGTGCTTCAGTAAAGCGTTGAGAGGTCGAACTCGCAGTATTCCGACGATCGAAGGCTTTGAGATAGAATCTGCATGACAGAGAACTAGGGCAGCGCTACCAATTGAACCTATCAACTACTTAATGTGTATGAGTGTAGACACTAGCTTTGTGCAGGGGTATCTGACACTACTCTATGCGATAACCATCACTAGCCTCCTAGATGATGAAGTGGCAGTTTTAGGTAATTATCACTAATCTAGCGAGACAACGACAATGTGATCTTGATGACGATCGAGCGATAACGTCACTACTTTTCCCTCACTGACATCCAAAACTTTAATTGCACTGAATAAATCACTAGGTCAACTGGCAGGTAATGATGTCACGCACTAGACTAGCGACTTAAATGAAAGCCTTGAGTACTCAAATTCCAGTTTGAAAAAGCTATTATGTGTCAGCGGTTTTGGAATAACGAGCGTCAAGTATAGACTTAACGATTCTACTCAGTTGGAATTGCCAAATGCACATTACTAGAGTTCTTTACAAAAATTCATAAACTGATAGCTTACAATTAAGGTAGAAGCTAGTAACTGCTAAGTGCGAATGGTGTATTGACGAGTCGGTGATCGTTAATCAGTATTTACCGAATTGCCGGGTGATCAGC